TGGTGGTGGTGATGATAGCGATGTGAGTCTTTGCTGGTGGTGATGATGGTAGTGGTAAAGATGGTGGTGGTGATGATAGCGATGTGAGTCTTTGCTGGTGGTGATGATGGTAGTGGTAAAGATGGTGGTGGTGATGATAGCNATGTGAGTCTTTGCTGGTGGTGATGATGGTAGTGGTAGTGTTGGTGGTGGTGATGATAGCAATGTGAGTCTTTGCTGGTGGTGATGATGGTAGTGGTAAAGATGGTAATGGTGATGATATCTCATCAATGGTGATGATAGCGATGTGAGTCTTTRCTCTATAATGAGTCTATAATGCGCTATATAAGAACATATTTATTATTATTATTATTATTTGCTGGTGGTGATGATGGTAGTGGTAAAGATRGTGGTGGTGATGATAGCGATGTGAGTCTTTGCTGGTGGTGATGATGGTAGTGGTAGTGTTGGTGGTGGTGATGTTGACGGTGTGAGTGTTTGCTGGTGGTGATGATGGTGGTGTTGATAATGATAGTGGTGGTGATGATGATGATGTTGGTGGAGATAGTGATGTTGATAGCCTTTGGTGATGATGATGGTGTTAGTAGTAATGGTTGTGGTGATGATGCTGGTAGTAGTGCTGATGACGTTGCTGATGGGGSTGAATTTGGTCACTGGTGATGGTAATAATAGTGGTGGACTAGTAATAATAGTGGTAGTGGTAATATTGGTGGCAGTGGTAAAGATGATTTAAATTCAGCCGATGATGATAATAATGAATGATATTGATAATAATGATGATGTGAATGGCAGTAGTAATAACAATAACAATAGTAACACTACAATGCCAGTTGTCAGTGGTCACCAACCTTTTCTAACAATTTGCCGGCATGGCAGCTGAGACTGTTAAAAAACATTTTGGTTGCCAATTCTGTCATCTCTTGCACAGTTGTTAAAACAGCAGCTTCTTCTCCTAATATACCACTGAAAAATATTAAACAACAAACTATAGTTAGACTTCAACCCAGTTGTAAGAAGGGTGGATAGCACTATTAATCRAAACCACTCTACTCAACACCCTTTACTCTCTTAGATTCACAAAAAGAAATGATCATAGGACTTACCTTATTGTCAYGCCATAAAACTTTAGAATATTAGTGAGACTGAATAGGGTTACGGCTCCTGGTTCTGACACGATAACTTGTTCTACACGAACCTATAATCATGATGGAAAATAACCAAAATAATATATTATTAATGATAGACACAATTGAAACATCGCAATAAAGTATTACTAGTAAAAGGTATGGGGATACAAATGCTAAAGCCTGGTTCACACTAGYGTCGGAATGAAAAGCAACATATGCAGACTAAGTATTGTACTTCTTATTAACAGTGCTTGTCTTTTAACACCTCTAACAGTAGCTATAGTGTTAGCCCATATGTACTTTCATGTACAAATGTTCTMAAAGAAAACATTTGTACTCAATCATTAATGGTAAATTATAAAAGTTTTAAAAGCATCATAAAAATAGAAATASAAATAAAAATACATACCTTGAATGGTCTACAGACCCCCTCTGTGATGTGACTTAGAACAGCCTTTTCATTTGTTTCTTCCTCTGTTAGCTTTGGATGAGAAGCTTTCCTTCCACCTAACAAGAATTTAAACCAGTGACTAAAACAGAGTACTTACTGTAGTAGAGTGTATTATTGATTATTATTACCAGAAGACTTGTCCAGTAAGGAGTGGAGAAGCTCTTTCTCTGATGCAATTGCTTGATGCAGCCAGGCAAGCATGTCACCAACATACCTACAAGCATGCAGTAAAACAGAACAAATAATGATTAAATACTGCATTTAAAAAGTTGATTAATGTTTTGTACATTCCAATTCACACTTCTCTAGATAGAAGCTAAGGGGAAAATGTTATATAAATATAATTTATTAAGATATGTATTACCTGACTGGATCATGAGAATGGAGTTCGATTGGTCTGGGGGTGCCACCAGGTCCTAGGGATACAAACAACAGAATAGGTTGAAGAAAATAGAAAAAAAAGAAAAGTGAAATGAATAGTAATAAAAAGAAGGGAAATAAATGGAGTAATGGAAAGAGAGGGAAAAGAAAGAAACAAAACGCTCCAGGTAACTATGCTATAATGACTGAAAAGAAGAAAGAAGCTGACGTAATAGTAAAGAAAAGAAGAATAAATAAAAAAAAAGAAAGCTGTATAAAGAAAAGGCAATGAAAAGGGAGGGGAAAGGAATGGATATAATAGTAAGCCAGGACAGCGCATTCCACGCGATAAAGGTTGATAAAATAAACAGTACCTCACATATCCAAACAACCAACTTTGAGCAACCCACAAGCCTTATTTCATTTATTTATTTATTATTAACTAACTAATTTGGGTATATATTTAACAAATAAAACAGCTTTTTCCGTGCTCTGTTCAGTAATAAAGCACACAGGAAGTAGCGTAAGCATGAAAGAAGCATAAGGAGAAGAACAAGCCATAGACTTCTAACACTTCTCACACTTCTTGTCGAGTGCTTACGGCACTCCCTAAGTGCTTTATTACTGAACGGAGAAAATTGTTTTATTTGTTTTATTACATAGTCTACTAATTTTATTTCGGCATTGAATTTATTTACGCAAAAAGAAAGAAGGTCACAAGATCTAGTAGAACCTCGCCCGCGCGGATGGCRTCAGCACTGTGCTCYGTTCACTTATAAAGCACAGTTTTTGACCAATCAGTGTGCTCGTAATATCCTAACTATATTAGATAAATATTGCAATGAATTAATTGTGTACCTCCCCTAGTAAGAGCATCAACAAAGCAGCGTACAACTGCTGTTCTTCTTGCTGTCCCATACTCATCCAAGCAGTACCTGGTAAAAATCAGTAAAAAACTTTTGATTCTTGCACCTGGTTGCTCAACTGAAGTCCACAGGGACAGATTTATAATACAGTAGGGAAGGAGCAGGCCCTTCAAGGTATACTAGATATATAAGATATTTTTTCTAGAGAAGATTGCCTATTAATAGTCTATCTATGAAACTCATTTGAGTGATCCTTAATACAGTATTTTATTGTGTAGTTTCAGAAAATATCAATTTCCCCACCACCTAGGGAATTTGTACCAGTTTAGGATAACTTTTGATTTTCTTCCATACAAACTCTGAATTTTGTTCTTTCTCTGACCCCCCCCCCTTCTCCTCCAGAATTTCCAATTTCCTCTGCAGGTGGGGTATGGATATTTTCTGGAACTACACATTAAGAGAATACACTTAAACGAAAGACTGATTCCTTACTTGAATAGCACAGGCCTGTCCTTTAGCAACTCCATTGCTTTGCTCAAGGTGGAAGATATTTCAGGCAGGTCTCCAGTCAGGCTTCTACACTCATCTATTGAAATTATAGTGTAAATAAAAAATGAAAATTGATAAAACTTGGAAACAAAAATGAATTAACATACTGTAGGCCTTTACATGKCTCCAAAATAGAATGTACAATCTGATATGAATCGTGATCAAAAGTAAATACCTTGAGTCCAGCGATAAAGTTTTTCATAACCAGCTTCCAAATGCATTGCCATTGTCTCCATGATCTCAAGCCTATAGATTTAAGTWAGATAACTCACTGGGTTAATATGTCACCCTCTTTAAATAAAGTTTATCGTTGATTGATTGTTTGGTAATCGAAGTATTATGATCATCCGGGTGGTGTAGTCCTGAGAAGGACTGCTTGATGTGAAGACGTTTCGAAAACTTGAGCGGAAGTCATCTTCAGAGTCAAGCGAAGAATAAAGTCAGATTGGTCATATTTTGATTGATGTTTACACAATCATTTATATTTTATTGCCTGGTAGATTCATCTATTTATTTATTCATTTATTTCTTTGTTTATTCCCAACGCCCTTTTTATTCATATTATTTATAAATTGATCATTAATTCATTAATCCCTTCCTTCCTTCCTCATTTTATTTATTCAAACAATCTGAGTGTTTACAGTCTTTTTTCTATCATGCTGTATTGCACCAACACTCACCCTGCTATCTGTTGCTTTGTCCGCAGAAGAACTTTACAATCACTGTGGATTTCTTTTACTCTAGCCAGGGCAACAAAGAAACCCTAAATAATCATTTTAGAAAGAAGTGAGAAAAATTTCCCAGATTAAATTTGAATTTGTATAGGAAATCCCATGATCTTGAGTACAATTTGGAGTTTATAGACCGTACAAGTGATGTTTTGAAAGTTTTCAAAATTGGACAAGTCTTTAAGCGAGTCCATGCAGTTTAAGAACTTTCAAAACATCGTGAGTATCTACACTGTATCAATTCCAAGTTGTACGAGAAGATTGTGCAATTTTTTGTTTATGATACACTCAACGAAATTGAGCAACTCAGAACTTACAATCAGGGCACAAAATTAACGCTTACAAACTTGTAAAATGTGGGTGAAATCTTGTATTTGGCGAGCGAAAAAATTAAACTAACTAAGTTTTGTGAGTATGACAACACGCCAGAAATTGAAGGACTGAAAAGTTTAGAGCCCGCATCAAGCAAAGCTTGTCATTTACCATATCAGATCRATCGTGACTTTAAAAAATTTTGCTAATGAGAACCAAACTTAGTAGCAAGGTTTTGCTAGTGGGTATAAAAGTTAATTTTGTGCTAGCTGACAATATTAATGATTTAATAAAAATTGTACTCTTCTTGTCCAATCAGAATCAAGTAATTYTGTTAAGTGTATCATAAAGCAGGTTAATTGGTATTTATGAAGGCCAAAAAACCAGAGAAGCCATTGAAAACACTAAAATCAAGAAAGAGACCCAACAAAYTACTACGGAGGATGCCAAGTTCAGGGGGAAAAAACTCAACCCAAGATAGTWCACGTGAGAGTTTAATTATTTCATTTTATAGTATTGATTAATTCCCTTGCGATGCAAAAAGCATTGCTATGGGCAATTACCTCTGTAACCGGGACATTTCGTGGACCTCTTAAGAGCTTTGCTTCTTCTGCATGGAGTTGGAATTTTGATAGAAAAGCCTCAGCCACTTTTTCTTGCATTTGAATTCGATTACTTTGAAGAAAAGTCATTAATATAGAATTATATCAATGCTACTTCAATCTGTAGTCAAATGAAGACAGGGTAGGAAGGTGGGGGTTGGAGACATCAAGAGGTCAGGATCTCTAACTAAAATTAATTTATAGGGCTTAAAATAATGGCTAGTCAGTCACCAGTTGTGATGAGCAGTCAAATTAGCTTCAGCTCAGTCATACCTTTCATTTCTGACTGAACATTATGAGTCGAAATGGTTGACAAGACAAGCGATGTTTTTATCCCGATTTAAGCCCTTAACCTTAACACCCCCTCCCCCGTTAAATATCGAYATGTGAGTGACAGGAGGCCAAATTGAAAAACCAGTTAGTACATTACGTATACTGAATTGATATACCCCTTTACTGCGATTTTCACAGACATGTGAACTCTGCGTCTGCAAGCWGCACRCTTGAATTTGGTTTTTCGCTGCYGTCAATCAAACCTAATCATGYTCAGTYGTTACCTTTCATACTTTTGACTGGCRGCAGYGAAAAAMCRARTTTCAGYGTGCAAMTCGGAGACACAGAGTTTGCATGTTTATGAAAATTGCAGTAAAAAAGTGATTTATTTTATGTCTTTTTATCTATTTTATCTATTTTATGTCYGCTTTTTGCTCCATTCTTTTTTGGAATATGAAAACACATTTTTACTCTGCACATTCAAGAATCTGTACATCACGGCCACTTTTGAATAATTATTTACCTTTCAGCTTGCAGTTTTGTAGTACTACTGATCAAGTCTGATGTCTGGTCTCTGGCAGACTATCAATATTAATACAATCAAGACATATAAACATGATTTTTAGAGGGACTAGCAAGTAAGTTTATCTGTAACAACCTGAAATATTATGGGCAATTCAGGGGAGCATTTGATAAATGACCAAAAACAGCCTAAAATATAAAAAAAGAGCATCATCCAAATCAAATTTTCTTTAGCCCATTTGAACACAAGGGATTATAAACAGATTTTTAAGATGATTCAAGCATGTTTTCAAAACAGTTTTCTGTGTGCATGCCAACACCATTGGCATTACTGTTCCTTCTCTTGGATATATGTGAAAAAGCACAAGTTTTTAGCAAGCAAGGATCATGATAGTGTACACATAAAAAAACATTAAAARTAATGCTCTAGTCCAACTTCTTTAAAGTATTGTAAGGTCTCTATTGATAAATAGGCAACAGCAGTCTTCTGTATTTCAAAATGGCCTTCAGRCCAGAAAGGAATTCTGGATTCCTTACATGTACTTGAAAGATTTTGACCTACATGTGCACCGCCTTGTACCAAACCTCAAACAAAGGCTAGGTTTTCTTGATTCATATTAATGATTTATTACCTTAAGTCTACTTGTCATTTCTTGGCAGCAGTTATTCATTTCTGTAATCTCTGCATGTACTGCATCTAGTTGCTAGAAAGAATTGCATTGAAAATATTCAGATATTTTCAGATATATTCACACTAATAGAAAAAGACAGAATCTATGTATTTTTGGGGTGCATAGCTACTATTGTGGTTGACTTTGACTGATAGCAGGACAACAGAATACAATAGAGTTTCTGAATACACATCAACTCAGTGCTATG